CACAATTTCATACTAAATTTAAAAACTATAATTAGTATTTATTCATATATTATATTTTAAAATCAAAGAACTACTAATCAGGATATAATTAAAGAAATAAGAGTTCATGTTGCTTTTAAAATATTTCACCAATTTCTCTAAAGGAAACACTATCTACAGATTTGCATCGAAGCGTTTCTTATGATAGTGATTTTAATCACTGTCAGATATCATCTATACTTGTCCCATCTATGCCTCGTCCACACTGTGCCTCGACCCCACTGTGCTACCGTTTTAGAAGGTAAAATGTAGGAATAGTATTATTATGTCAATATTTAAAAACGAAAGAGATATACAAGAGTGTGGAATAGAATAAAAATTTGGGAAAAGGTAGGTAATAGATAAGAGGATAAGAAATGAGATATTGGTATCTAAAAACCAGTTTATATATATGACTTGCAAGTCAACAATGGAGCCAGTATTTTATGTAAGGTAACTAATAGAAAAGTTTAGGGAAAAGAAGAAAAAGCTGTGTATGGTATTTATAGATTTGGAGAAAGCGTATGATAGACTCTATCATACGCTTTCTCCATCAGATAGAGTACGGAGAGAGGTTTTAAAATGAGCATTAATGAGAAAAGGAGTCCCGAAAAGGTACATTAATATAAAAGAGGATATGTATGATGGCACTTGTACCAGGGTAAAGAGTATGAGGAGTAACAGAAGGTTTTAGGGTAAGAGTAGGAGTGCATCAAGGTTCTGCTTTTAGCCTTTACTTATTTTCTAGTGATAGATGAAATTACTGGAGAAATACAAGGAAAGGTGTCGTGGTGCATGTTATTCGCTGACGATGTGTTAATAGAAGTAAATAGGGAGGAATTTAATCAAAAGCTAGAGGTAAGGAGATCAGATATTGTAGAAAAGAAATTAAGAATAAGTAGGAGTACTATTTTTCTTACTTTTGTAAGTCTAGACTTTTTTTCACCTCCCTTGTTCCTAGCAAAAGTAAAATATATGTAATAAAAAAAAACATTAACCCATGCTAAATTTTATTATCAATAATATCATTGTAAGTAATATATAAATCAACTGGAATATTTGTTAAACACGATAATAAAATTATTAATTAAATAGAAAATGTTTTTGAATGTTGCTATCACAAATTAATTTCAAATTAATTATTTCATTAATATTATCTTAAGTAGTAAATAACCATTTTCTTCAACTTGTATCTGAAACAAAAATAATGAGAAAATATTGAACTACAATTAAATGATGCTGGTAATAATAATTTTTACAGTAAAAGTGCTTGAATTAAAAAGAAAAGGAACTTTTTGCATTCATTAATCTATGATTATCTGTTCTTTTTGTTCTCAAACTTCACAAAGTTTTATTGTGAAGATACAGAAGAACCTTGGTCATAAATATGCTTTATCTAAATTGGATAAAGGATAGTATTAAATAAAAGATGGTCTAACACTGGAAACAAAGGTTATAGCAAAAAAATTTTGCAGGTTTCTTTTTTATATAACGAAAAGAAAATTTTTGATGTTATTGTTTTGGTTTTATATTTAAGTAAAAAATAAAATAAAAATATTTTCTATTTATATTTATTTATTAGATTGAAAAAAATTATCCAGTTTTCTGAATTAAGTATGCTCCAATTAGTTTATACATTCAAGGTTCTACTGTAAAGTAATTGTTTTAAAATCTTTTAATTTAAAGGTATTACTTTTTTTTACATCTTCCAAAACTAAATTAATGAAAATACACTATTTAATGTTAGGAAAAACTAACATTAATATCTATTATTGATATACTAGGAATAACTACAATAAACTTTATAAATATATAGTCTCAAGCCCTAATAATAAGAGGTTTTCAGAGCAACCAAAAAATTATGTAATTACTTTGAACATTATTTTCATCAATATTAGGCCAATTTAGTTGTGTTCCAACTGATCTCACATTAAGTTCTTTTTTATAAGGTTTTCTTTTCATCTTTTCAAGTTGTTTACGGATAGAAGACGTTTGTTTTTGCAAATTTTCAAATTTTATTTTCCAAAACTGTTGTTCTTTATTAATAGCTTTAGCTTCAAATAATTGGCGGCCTAATTCACTGTTATTAACAATAGCAAGGGCAGCTTTTTCCATGACCATTTCTTCAAATTGAATAGGTGTTATTTCTTTAATATCTTTGTTATACATCTATTAATAAAGAAAATAAGATTATTTTCTAACTTTTGAAAAAAATAAAATTCATATACACAAACCAAAATAGAATATGAACAATTTTTTAATAAACTACTAGTATTAGAGTCAAAAGATTTGCCACTTATAACATCTCTCACTAATTTTGATACAATTTGTTCATCTTTTATTAATTTATCATTGTCCTCCTCATCATCATCGCTAGATGATTTATCTTCTTCATTTAATTCCCAAGATGAATCGTCATCATTTTCATCCTGAGATGAGATAACATCTGCATCTTCTTCAGAAAACATTTTTATTTAGTAAGAAAATGATTAAAATGAACCATAACATTCAGTTTACTATAATTATCATGAAATATAAGAATTCTAAAATTCACAATTTAAGTGAAATAATGATGTCAAAATAGTAATTTCAAAACTTAAGTAGTCAAAAATAAATTACATAGATTAAATAAAGTATTTTCTAACATTATTTTTTAAACATTGATAATAAAAATTATTTATCAATGATATCAAGTCAGTTATTGTTTGACAAACTATTTTATGGCTCTAGAAAAATACAAAAACTTTGTTTTTTGAATTTAAACAATAATTTAATTACAAAAAATTGTTTTCTTTTAATATTCAAAATAATCATTTTTAAAAATCTATTGTATTGAATATAGCACAAACAACTAGTAGACAGCATTATCACAAGATTGCGCGTTTTACCCGGAGAATTTTGTAATTCTATATAAATATTTGTATACAGGTTGCTTTATAATTGAAATTTAACACTATCCATTGTATTTATCCTAATTCCGAGCGGTTCTCGACTTACCATGTGATCCCCTAAAGGGGTCAGAGTCTTGAGTTAATTCTGAGAATTTATTTTACTTCGTTTTTTATGTGTATTAGTTCTGATATAAATAGAAATCCCAATCTAAAACAACATTATTTGTACTATAAAAAAATTTAAGAACATAACAGGCATAGGTTTCGAACCCCTGAAAAAAATATGTAAATGTCATGTTGGTATTTATAAAAAATCGTTGGTTAATTTCTCATAATTATTTTCATAAGTCAAGTTGAAAAAGTTTATTTTTTGTGAAAAAGTTGTCATTTTAAATCCCCCCCTGTTGACAGGTTTAGGGTCAGATTTATAAAAAAATACACCAAATGATAGGTAAAAACATTATGCATCTTTAAAAAAAAATTATATTGATTCGGTTATTTTTAAAAAAGTTATAGCAATTTTATATAAAAAAAAATGAAAAAATTTCGAAAATTAGCGATTTATAAATTTGTAATTTTTTTGGAAGTTTCCCCCATTTACTGGGAACGAGGGAAATTTTTTCAATTATTGAGGGTAATGTCTTCGACTAGATACGATTTGTGAACTTTTGACGTATTATTGAAAGAAATCGGTCCGGTGAGAGCTGAGAAAAAGTGGTAACAGACACAAAAAAAAAACACATCATAGTAAAACCAATACCTTCTCAGCTTCGCATCGAAGCTAAAAATAATTATTCTCTCCTAATTGTATATTTTTTACACCCAAAGAAANTAATTATTCTCTCCTAATTATATATTTTTTACACCCAAAGAAAAACCTCAATCAAAATTGAAAGAGAAATTTTTTCAACGGTTTATGATAATGTTTTATTAANTATTCTCTCCTAATTGTATATTTTTTACACCCAAAGAAAAACCTCAATCAAAATTGAAAGAGAAATTTTTTCAACGGTTTATGATAATGTTTTATTAATACGAACAAAATAACTATTCTTATAAATAATTATTGTTCAAGACAAGAAAAAAAAATATCATATTGATAAATATATCATTGATTCAATAGTAATGATATATTTATCAAATTGAACAATGAATTTATTATATAGATCGAGGTTTTTCTCTGAGTGTATAGATATGAACTGGGTGATTCCATGACTATTTCTCCAGCAATATTAAAATAAAATAATTATGCAATAAATATTAAGTAGATGGCTTATAGTACATGAAACTTAAAATATAAAAAGGTATTAAACGCACATTCGAATTTATGTTGTTTTAATCATTAAAAATCAAATCAAATTGAAATAGATAAATTTTAATCACCATATTTTACCATTCCAATGTATATTAAACAATTATTAGAATTCGATGGTGAAACACTCAAATTCTTAAAAAATGCTAGGAGAGGTATCGTGGTGCATGTTGTTCGCTGACGATATAGATTCTTATAATAATGTACTATTATTAAGTTAAGCTTTGATTACAAGGTTATCATCTCACATTAAGTTTAAATTTCAATATTTATTATAAAGTGGCTAATTTACACTTCACGGAGGAATAGTAGCTAAATCCTCACCCTTACGTTTTTCAAATGATTGTTCAAAAAAGGAATTTCAAACATTTTAATAGCCCAAAACTAGCTTTTTCTAATAAAAAAATTGTAGTTTTTTGGAGTATTTTCCTTTATTACAGAAATTAAGGGGAGTTTTTATATTATTTAGGAAGTAAGACGTAGGATTAAGTGCGTTTGGATTAAATATAAAGACACATTTGGTGTTATGCGCAGTAAGATAATTCTAATGAAGTTGAAAAGTAGGTTCTATATGACTATAGTGAGAACAACTATGTTTTATGGATCAGTATGTTGAGCAGTTAACAAAAAAATAGAGCAGAGAAAGATTTTATGGTCCTAAAAAAAAATCTGATAATCTAAAACTTTTTTCAACATAAAAATATTTTGAATATACTTTTCATCTTTTTTGGTTGTTTATGGATAGAAGACGTTTGTTTTTGCAAATTTTCAAATTTAACTTTCCAAAGCTGTTGTTCTTTATTAATAACTTTAGCTTCAAACAATTGGCGGCCTAATTCATCGTTATTAACAATAGCAAGGGCAGCTTTTTCCATGACCATTTCTTCAAATTGAATAGGTGTTATTTCTTTAATATCTTTGTTGTACATCTATTAATAAAGAAAATAAGATTATTTTCTAACTTTTGAAAAAATTAAAATTCGTATACACAAACCAAAATAGAATACGACACATTTTTTTAATAAACTACTAGTATTAGAGCCAACCCTACCCAACCAAAGCAAAATCTTAGACACGCTTTTATGACTAGGTCTCGTATACTATTACTTATTACGTATGCATTGCTATTTTCTCCATCTTAAATATACTAGAAAACCAAATATATATGTTGTTTAATTTTTATGTACATTAAACATTCTATAATTTAAATAATATTTACAAAATCAATGAGAGGAAAATGAAAAGACAATTCTTAATACCATTTATATTATTAAACTATAATAAAATGGTCAACAAAAAACAAATTTGGAATTTTTTCTATAAAAAAATATTATTATATTCAAAATATTGTTCTTCAATACTCTTAGTTTTCATCAACTTCTTCGTGGATTACTTCTTCGTCGTCAAATTCGGTTTCTTCTGCAGTTGCTTCCTGTAAGTATAAAAATAAAATTTAATAAATATTAAATTTTAACGTCAACAGCTATCGATGTTTAATTTCCAAAGATTACCAAAGAAGTGTAAAAATTACCTGATATTGTTGATATTCAGAAACTAAATCGTTCATATTAGACTCAGCCTCGGTAAATTCCATTTCATCCATCCCCTCACCAGTATACCAATGGAGAAAAGCTTTGCGTCTAAACATGGCAGTAAATTGTTCGGATATGCGTTTGAAAATTTCCTGAATGGCAGTGGTATTACCGATAAAAGTGGCTGACATTTTTAATCCTCTCGGTGGTATGTCACAAACTGCTACTTTTACGTTACTTGGGATCCATTCAACAAAATATCTGACCAAGAAAATCAAAATAATGAATATTATTTAGGATTTATTGGGTAACTCCATTTAGCTTTAGCTAAATTAAAACCAACTTTACTAATTAAAAACACCATTTAAATTTAAAAAAAGTTGAAACTTAAATAAATATATAAAATATTTATTTTACCGATACCACATATTACATGACACGTTGTGGCAGGTGTGTCACTGACGATACACAGGATTTTAAATTTACATATTTGAAACTCAGTCCTAAATTTTTGACCCCTAAGACATTGAATGGTTTCTCCCACTACCACCCTTCCATTAACTATCAACTCTTAAAAGTATATTTTGTCCTCTGTGATATCTGTACGTACCAAGCAAAACTTTTAATGACGCCCCTGATATGCGAAGAAAGTATACCATTTACTACGTTTATATTTATAAATAACACTTACCCTGAATTTTTATTTTGGATGTTGAGCATTTGTTCATCAACCTCTTTCATGGACATAATACCTCTGAAAATGGCAGCCACAGTTAAATAACGTCCATGTCTAGGATCACAAGCAGTCATCATATTTTTTGCGTCAAACATCTACAAAAATATAGAAAACAAATAAAAATAAAAATCGTTTTACTGTAAAAAGTGTACACTCACTTGTTGCGTTAGTTCGGGTACAGATAAAGCTCTATATGATTGACTACCCCTGGCTGTTAGTGGAGCAAATCCTGGCATAAAGAAATGCAACCGTGGGAAAGGAACCATATTTACAGCTAACTTCCTTAAATCAGCGTTCAATTGACCAGGGAACCGTAGACATGTAGTTACTCCGGACATAGTTATCTTTAATTAAATAATAATTATACAAATGATTTTATTTAAGAAAATTCGTGGATAAGACGAGAAAAAAAAACTTAAATGGTTTGTTCATGTTATTAGGAGAGAAGAATCGGAAGCTGTAAGAACAGTTATAGAAATGAATGTTGAAGGAAGAAGAGGTAGAGGAAGACCAAAAAAGAGATGGAGGGATGCTATTGAATGCGATATGAGGACAGCTACATCAACGCTCACATCAAGCGTTGATGATGTGGAATATCGTGTCAAGTGGAAGTTTAGGATAAGGGTGACCGACCCCAAATAGTTGGGATTAAGGCGAGGAAGAAGAAGAAGAAGAAAAAGAAGATTTTATTTAAGAAAATTAAGTTTTCCTTACCGAGACTAAATGGTTAAGATCACCATAAGTGGGCGAAGAAAGTTTAAGTGTTCTGAAACAAATATCGTACAACGCTTCGTTGTCAATACAAAAAGTTTCATCTGTATTCTCTACAAGTTGGTGAACGGATAGTGTAGCATTATATGGTTCGACAACCGTGTCTGAAACTTTAGGAGATGGTACAACACTGAAAGTATTCATAATTCTATCGGGATATTCTTCCCTTATCTTGGATATCAACAAAGTACCCATGCCTGAGCCTGTACCACCACCCAGTGAGTGAGCCAGTTGGAACCCTTGCAGACAATCGCAGTTTTCAGCTTCACGGCGCACGACATCCATGACCGCATCCACTAACTCAGCGCCTTCGGTATAATGTCCTTTAGCCCAGTTGTTACCTGCAAAATAATGAAAATTGTTTGTGACTATTACATATTAGTTTGTAACATAACAAATAATATATCCATATAAAAATTAATGTTTCGGAAACATTCAACGACATCATCACTGAAATGTATCTTTAATGAAACCAATAAATGCTTACCAGCTCCACTTTGGCCAAAAACATAGTTGTCTGGACGGAATAATTGTCCAAAAGGTCCGGAACGCACTGAATCCATGGTGCCAGGTTCTAAGTCCACCAAAATCGCCCTTGGAACGTAACTTCCCTCTGTAAAAATATAATAAATAATTGAAGTCAATTCAAAGATTAATATAGATAATGCTTACGAGTGCTCGCTTCATTGTAGTACACATTAATTCTTTCCAGTTGTAAATCATTATCGCCATGATAAGTTCCAGAAGGATCTATGCCATGTTCGTCAGAGATTATCTCCCAAAACTAAATCACACAGAGTTAATTTTAAATTGGTATTAATATAATTGAAAAAAATAAAATCGTCGTCTTCAAAATTAATTTATAACGTGTAATATATTTTAACTCATAATGATACTAAGTTAAAATTAATTCCTACTAGAACTAAGTATTATTTAATATTCAAATAAATTAAATTTACAACATATATATATTTTCGCAACAATTATAAGTTCTTTACTCATGTAATGTGAAAAAAATTGTTTTTCCTATAATTATGCATTTAATTATTGATCAACAAAATTACATTTAAAAAGATTAAAAAAAAGTTTTCGTTAATTTTTAACGAAAGTAGATTTTAATTAAAAATACTACTTGACACAAATAGGAAAAATTAAAAAGTTCTTTGAATATCTATTTACTAATGAGAACATTTTTTCTTATATGTATACTTTATTTTGAATATTCCACTAACAATATATTTTATTTTTTAACTAAATTTTTGTATCAGCATAACTTTTTTTATTATTTAATTCTTCTAAGCCACATACATGGTCACCATAATATTTAATGTGAGTAGAAATAATTATCAATTATGAAAAAAAACATCTTAAGAAAGGTCATCAGGAATTTTTTTTTAACTTTTTTTTAAATATTTTATTAAGTGTTGATGCACTAAACAACTATAAAAAAATTATACGACTATAAATTAATTTTTATCACGTGGTTATTTGGATTGTAAAATTGTCAACCAATAGAGTTATATGAAACTACTATTTTTTAAGCTTATGGATCAATGCCAACGCTGTAGCAAGTATAATTTATTTTATAATAGAAAATTCTGTAAAAAATACTCTATTACAGCAAGATAAGTAATTTGAATGACACGAAAATTGACCATGTGCGTTATGGTAAGGGTAGTGTAGTTACGTCTGGACATTTCTAAAAATATTTTCTAGCTTCATGGGATGTTGCCAGATGACAACCACAGTGACTCTAAAGAAATTATACGTTGCTTCTTGCATTGAATGAAATAAAAAAATTTAACCACCTCTGATCTGGATTTGAAAGACTGCATTTTTGAAGAACAATTGGCTTAAATAAAACTAAAATTTGAAGTAATACAATTTAAATTTTGAATAAAAAATCATAATCACAAAAAAAAGAAGAGATTTCCAGAACGCCATATAAATAATGAAATGAGCTAATCGCTTTTTAAAATGCTTATATTAGTTTTTTAAAAATGTATAAAATTATGATTAAAGATCATATTAATAGGGTCACGTGCCAAAAACAAATAAAAGTAAAATAATACTCTAGATAAGTCAAAACTATTTAATATCAACTGAGACACCGTTTTTCACAATAATAACAGTTATATATTAATTTATTGTGGTAAAGTGTTTCATATTTAACAGCAATATAATAATTTAAAAATTGACTAAAATTTAAAAAGATTTCAGTTTTATAACAGTGTATGTTATTTAAATAACAACATTAGCAATTCAACGAACAAAGGTCATGCATTAATTTCCATTGAAACAAATAATAGTTTTTTTAAAAATCAAAATTTATCACACATAATTGATGTTTTACTGCAATTGCTTAGTTTACACTAATGATGATTTTTATTCAAAATAGGTACTTAAATTATTAGTTCAGATACATTGTATCGTAATTTTTTAACAGATTTTTGTATAAGTGTATTCAAAAAATAAATGCATTTGTGTAAAAATTAACTCATTAAGTAATATATACTGTATAATATAAAAATTCATAAAAATTTTATTTTTAATCATTTATAAAATATTAATACATCATTAAATATCAAATATATTTGAAATTTAAATTTAAAAGAATCTGCTTTTTAAAAATAATTATTTAAATTGTTCGATCGAAGACATTTTAAATATATTTAGGATTTATTTGGGGCGGACTATTTAGTTCAGTCACTAACACGTTGCACTTCGGTATGTAAGTACCGAGTTCAAATCCGTTGCAAATTAATGTTTTCCTATCCTTTAAGGCAGAAACAAAAGCTTTTAGAAAATATTTTAAACGTGATTAATGGTATATTTTTTTTTAGGTCGATTTTAAATAAATTTATGAATCTAATAAAGTTTTCAATAATTTTTAAGTTGCAGTTAAATTAAAGTGCAGTACTCTCATGAGTAATTGCAATACGAATACTAAGTGGGTAATTATTAATATGCAAAGTTAATATTATACAGAATAAATTATTCTAATGCTTTACTAATTAGGGTGACTTATAATAGTTGCGAAATTATGATGATATTTTAAATTTTAGCATAAAAAATGTCTGCGATTACTTTAGCTCCAATTTGATTTCCACATTGCCCGGCTTGTAGATGTAATATTTCCCTCATGATCGCACAACAGATTTGAAACTTAAGTATAGTGCGATGTGTAGACGCACCAACGAGGTTATTTGCTCAAATGGTGTTTGTGACGAGATGGCAAGCCGATAGTACTAACGGTGTTGTTCGGCAACAACTGCTACTGCTTGCGGTGGCGATGTACCTGACTAATACTATAAGATTATAATTTGTACTATTATAACGTCGCAAAATGTGTATCATAAATGATTATGCTCACGAGAATTTGAAATGTGGACGACGTTGTAATACTCGTTTATATGATATTATATTTCAATGAAATTAAAAAAGAAACCTATTTATAAATATTTATTAGATGCTTTTCTCTGTTTTATAGAGACGTATTTAGCAAATTAATGTGTAACATAAAAGAAAAATATGTCTTCTAAATTCTTTTAGCAATAGATTTATAGAAGTAAAGTCACATTACGACAAGACTAATTTTTCGCTGTCCTATGAATCTAGAATATATAAGTTATGCATAAATATACATTGTCTGAAACATAAGTATAATCATGTTTTTTTAATAATAGTAATAATTTTTTTTATTTTTATCAACCATACATCAGGTACATCCCTAAAAAATTTCATCGCTGAGGTACTTGCTTCTAAATACGACACTAACGTTAGTTTCAGTGCTTTGGAAATTTCTTTAAAATGACAAAAATTTCATACTTATATTTTAGACGATTTAAAGAACCGTATTCATATACACAACTAAAAGGAGGGTATTTGGAGGACTAAGCACCCGTGTTCTCCAAAAATGTTTAATTTTAACATAAATAGAAATTAAGTTTTTTATTTTATTATAATCAAAATTGTAAGTCTAGTATACTTAAATAATTAGTTTATAATTAAAAATTATATTGAACACAGTGATATTTATTAATTAGAATAAACGAAACCTGCACATAGTCGAGCAGTTTGTATTTATTGACCTAGTCAATAATAAAAAGTTATAAGGCAAATTAAAAAAATTGTTTTAAAATAAATTTTTTTTACTATAATTGTATACTATAGTGTTTTATATCTTAGTGTATTTAATACCAAAAAAAAGGCGGCAATGAGGCAAAATCATTAGTGATTTTACAGGTCCGGATCTGTAAATATTAATTTTTTTTAACAATCCCAAAATTGAACTTTAGCAGTGCCTATGATCCTGTTCTCATTTTTCGATTTTCAACACATAAAAGTTTGAAAATACTAACCTAATGAAATACTTTTTTATAATTTCAAATTATTTTTATAATGAATAGTTTAGAAGAATTTTTTTTTTATAATAACTGTCAATTGTAACCTGTTTCTTATAATAAATTTAATACCTAAGAGTGTATGCGCTACATTTTTAGAGGGCATAAATTCAAACTTTTGTCTTTCAAAAATAAGTTTTGTATACATAGATTTAAGAGAATTTTGGTAGAATACACATATATTAAATTTTAATTACATTATAACTATATTATATATTAAATTATAATTATCCTTATATATTAAACTATATATAATAAATATAAGTTAAGAGGAAAATGAGAATTGAAAATTAAAGGAATTTGAATGATTAAAAATAAACAATAAATACAAAACAATTTATAATTTTATTCATAAATATATACTATTTAACATTAAAATGAGTTATTCATGTTTTTTCCCTTTTCTTTTACTTTTAATATTTTCATTTACAACTTTTAAAACTGCGTGGTTTGAATCCTTTAGATGTTGATGCAGTTTGTTTTTAGAAGAAAACACTGAAGAACATACACCACAAACATTATTGGATCTTTTAACTTTAGTATTATCAACTGGCTTAGGTTTCTTTTTATTTTTAGTTGGTTTTTCTAAAGGTTCCTCTGAAAATTGTTTTTCTAACGTTATTTCTTCAGTTACATTTTCAATATTATTTAAATTACATATTTTTTCTGAGTCACCTAAATGAGTATTTTGTTTCACGCTTATCAAAACAATATTTTCTTTGTGTTTCTTTGATAACTTATGATTATGCAGAGCTTTATCTGTCTTAAAAAATTGGTCACAAGACAAACAATATAAAACATTAAAATCTTTTGTTCCTGAAATGGTTTTCTTTTTACATCTTCTTTCTTTTTTATTAGTCATAAAATCTTCATCACTACTAGTGTTAGAATCTAAAACATTTGATTCATTTGATAGCGAAGAACTTAAATAAACATTATCCTGAGATTCCTTTTTCTTTAATTTTAATAACTTATAATCAACAAGAGATGTTTTAGAACTACTTGAATCACTCGAAAAAGCTTCGTCAAAATTGGTTTCTATATTAGAGTGATTACTCACTTCAGAATTTATAAGCACCTCATCATTAGACCTTAATTCATTAGCACTACTTGATTTTTTTTCTTCTTCAGATACATCATTTAGTAGATACTCATCATTTAACATTTCAGTTTTAATCAACTCAATATTTTCTTTGTGTTTTTTTGAATTTTCGTGGTTTTGAAAAGCTTTTTCGGTTTTGAAAACTTTATTACAAGCTACACAATATAAGCAATTAACAAGTTCGTCATCAGAGTCTTCTTCACTTTTACCATATTCTGCAATTAAACTTTCTTCAATTACTTTTAACTCTTCTTCTACATTTGAAAACTTTGTCCATTCTGATTCTTTATAATTAGCTAATTCAATTTGTTTTTCTTTTATTCTCTTTTGCCTAGCTTCTTCCATACGTTTCATATTTTCAGCTGATTTATGTTTCAGTGTTTCTGCATATGCTTTAACTCGTCTGTCTCGTTTACGAACAAATTCTACAAGTGCTTGAATTTCTTCATTACGTTCTTTTTTAGCCTTGTCACGAATTTTTTTATTTTCTTTTTCCATTAATTTTGCGACTCGTCTATTTGGAGCTTGTCGGATATCATATTCATCTAACCAACCAAAAGATTTATGAGTAGTAAAATTCCACCAGAAATTATAAAAAGGACGTGCTATTTCTGCATAATCACTATTTGAATGACCGAAAGTAGGAATTTCATTTTCGTCAAATTCAAAATAATTACTTTCTTCAATCAGAATATTACTAAATACCTCACGATATACTGTGTAAAATCCTTTTTCGTCATCACCAAAACCTTTGTAACATGATGGAGAAAAGTATTTAAATAAGTTGATTTCATTTACAGGTGTTTCAGAATTGCTATTAATTATATATTCCCGATGATTATCATACCATTGTCTTTCACGTGGATCACTGAGAACTTCATAAGCCTGTTGAATAAGTTGAAATTGTTCCTTGGCTTCTTCGAGATTATCAAGATTTTTATCAGGATGCCAGCGCAATGCTAATTTTTTATATGATTTTTTTAATTCTTCTACCTGAACATCTCTTGATACTTCTAGTACATCATAAAAACATTTCATTGTGAATTGTGATGACTATATAATGTATTATATATTTCTACTTTAATATGTTTGAATTATAAAATTGAAATAGATATGTAAGTAATTTAATAATAATCGTATTTTTAAGTTCAATAACTAATTTTTTAGGGGTAAAAAGTCAGCTATGTATTAATTTTAGATAAATTAGTAAATAACAAGTAATTTCCCAAAAATAGTTTAGTAAATATGGTAAATAGTAAATATTGTTGTAAAACAAATAATTAGTGTAACTTAGTGCTTAACATTGAATGAGAATCGTAGTATCATTTTATTAACAAATTTGATAAAATAAAGATATGTGATAAATCTAAAATTAAATGATAACACTCTACAATGAATCATACATTAATGTATGAATAAATTATCTATTTATTGGGTTAATTATTAGTTTTCAGTAATTAGATATAAGAAATAAATAAGTTATTAAAAAATTATTTATTTAATAACAAATAATGAATTTGAAGAAAATATTCTAATACTTTGCTCCAGAACTTTAGTTGAGGTTATGACTTTTACTATCATACAGTGTAGATTTATATTTATTTCATTATCTGTATAGTCGCTATGATCTTATCACGCGACAATAGTTTTTAAAGTAAAATAAATTCGACATCATAGAAAACTAAAAATTTAAGAGTTAAAAATATTATCTAATTATTAAGTAAATTATAATTTTTTAAAAATATAATTAGAACCTCATAACGTTTTAGTCTTTGGGTAAATATTTTTGGTGAAGTCATAATGAAATTGACTGCTGCACTTTGGAAAAAACTACCTAAAGGTCACATTTTTAAAGGGTAAGCTATTTAAGTATTAACTTTTTTTCGTCTATAATTTTGTTGAGTATAATATTTTTGTTTATTATCATTCATTTTATTTTACTAAATTCTAGAAAACATCGCTTAGTGAAACCAGTAACTGGATTAGATATAGCAGCAAAATTAAGAGATTTTGAACGTGAAGAACAAAATATGTTTTATTTAAGACATCCTTACTTAACTAAAGTATATATATATTTTTATTTGAAAAATAATTTTCTTGAAGTGGTTTACCCCAATGCCTTTTAATCTGCTTTAGAAAATTTGAATAAAATATTATTTTAATTTTATTAAAATAATTGTATTTACTATTTTACTAGATATCATGTATTATCAGTATAATCCTGCATTCCAAATTCTAGATTTTCAATAAATGAGTTTCAGTAGATTTGTTCAGTAGTATGTTTATAAGATTTTAATGTAGAAAACTTGAAAAAGTATTAATAGATAAATTATTTTGATACATTCCATTTAAATATTATAACTTAAACCCTCTTTATGTAAAATTAACTATATATTTAATATATTAGTAATTAAAAATTCAAATAATTCAGTTTTTTGTGAAACATTATGTTAGAGTAATTGAAAGTTGTTATAAATGTTAGTCATTTATTAGTAATTTCACTTAACTATAAATAAAATTAATTAATTTAGTTTTTATTTTTTCAATTAATGATTTTAATTGCACCTCTTCAATTTAATTCCATATAACCATGAAATAATTTAAACTTAAAATTCTAGCAATAAGAATTTGTGCAAAAAAATTATTAATCTTATTATATTTATGGTAATATTTTAGATCTTTTGTTTAAAAAAACAATTTATTTTTCAGGAAGAGTCTTATTGTCATTCAAAAGAACAAGGGCGTTTCGAAAAATGGATTAGAAAATGGAAATTGATCCAGGCTGATAAATTTTCCCAACATAAACCTATGTCTGATCATTTAATGCATTTACGTTCATCTGATGGTTGGGAAAGTTACTAAAAACATCAATTTAATTATCAAATAAACTAAAGTTTAGTCTATTTTATTATAAATTTGTGTTAAATTTATTGTAAAATATGAATTAATTATTTTTATAAGCATTATAAATAATTATCGATTTATAACGACATAATTATTAAAAGAAAACAAATCAATAAATTTTTTATATTATCCTAATTTTAAAGCCGAGTACAAACAACAACATTATCGTCATCATCCAACCATTTATTGTCAACTGCTTGATCTTTTTTTAAACTTCTACCACTTTCTATTAGTTCTGCAAATTTAGCAGCAATAGGATCACTTCCAACTGTTGCTATTGCTATAACCTCATTATTTTTACAATAATACACAACTGCTTTAAAATTTTCTAAATCTCCGTTTATCAAAACATCAGTATACCCATGTCCATAACCTATGTTAAAGAATATTGAGTTATTAAAAAAACATTCATTAATATATCATATCATTAACTAATTACCTGCATATCGAATGCTAGTACCGAAAAGTGAAGTCCAAAAAAATGGTACTGAATGAATAGAACTTTTTTTACCAATCATATTTAGAGCAGCTGTTTTTCCATGGTATGTAGCTAATTGCCAATGTCCTAGTGATGCTTTAATCTTTGCAGGATAAACAGGAGCATTAGCAACATCACCACCAGCATAAATTCCTTTGACGTTAGTTTCGAGATTCTAATATTTTATGAATTATATAAATTATCATATAATAATTAATACTTTTTTAAATTTTATCAACCTCATTAACTTCAATGGTACCATTAGTAGGATTCATATTAATAGCAGATCCTTTAAGAAACTCGGAATTAGCTTTCGATCCCATTGCAATAACACAAACATCAACTTTGAGCTTTTGGCCATCATTAAGTTCAACCTCCGATAATCTACTTTCATAACCAATAAAGTTTTGTACACTAGTTTTCATTTTAAATGAAATGCCTTTAGATTGACATAATTCTTGAACCCGTTCACCCAGTTCTTTACCCAAACTTTCAATAAAAGGAACAGCACTCCTTCCAATAACATTAACTGATTTCACTTTAGAACTAGCTGTTGCAGCTACTTCCATACCTGAAAATATTTTTTTTTATTAAGGCAGACATTGACTGCTGCAGATCAATATTATATGATAATCATAATAATTTTATAATAGTTGTAATGAAACCATTGTTATAATTAACCATTGTCAGTATTAAATGTTATTTAAGAAATCATTTTTATTTTAAAAATTTTAATTTCAATGAAACACGTTAAAATTATAACTGTTATACAAAACAAAGGTAAAATTGTATCTTATATACTTTTTAATAATCAGAAAATTAAAATTATGAAAAATAATTAAAATTAATACTATGACATTTACGTACATTCAACAAATATGAACCAATATTTAAATATTTATGATTAAATGTTTATAAATAATAATGTGTGTATATTCATAAGAAATTTTTTATTGACTATTATAAATTGGTGAAAGCTAAATGAGAATATGGATAACTAGGGCCTCGATTTTAATGCTATTGCGTTTTATTTAGTATGATCTTAAACAATACTTTTTAGTAGAAAATTCAATTTATGTAATTGAGAATTCAAAAATAAAACTTATTTTACATTTTTTTTGGAAATTTTAAGGACATTTTTTTTGTTCTTGGGTTTTTTTAACACATTTTAAAGAATACTTATGAAAGTTTTTTTTATTAAAATTAAGTAAATTAATAATTTATTCAGCAAAGCAATGAAAATTTTATATTATATATTATTTATATTATGTATACAAATCGGAAGACTATTAAGGGGTCTTAAAATTATGAAAATTACCTGTATATTTATATAGAAATGTTTAAAAAAAAAGAAGTTAATTTAGACTTTTTGTTCTAATCGAGTTAATAAAAAAATTATATTTAAAATAGAGTATTTTTAAAATAAGAAAATACTTCTTGAACTAGTAGTCACATTTTTAATACAAAATAAAATAATTAGTAATATAATATATTATAACTCAGTGTTTAGTATTTTAGAACATTAGGTAGAAATAAAAATGAAACATAGTCTAGTATAAAATTTTACCGATGAATGATGATCCAATGATAACAAGATGACAATCTGATGATAAATGTTGAGATATTTTACCAGCATCACTAGCAGTGCGTAATGTAAAAACATTATTAAATTTCGAAGCATCAGGAACCGTACGTGGTCTAAATATAATAAAACAATAAAAATTAGTATACACAGGTGATTAACTTATTATGAACCACTTAATTAATCAAAAAATAAGAATAATATTAATTTGTTATTATTTCTTTTATTTCAATGTTTCTTTTAATTTTTCAATCATAAAATTATTTTTAATTCATCCTTTATGCCTTATAAGGATGTCAAATTCAAATTCTCACATCCCTATTTAACTAGCTTAATTAATAGATAATGATCTAATTCAGAAAATGACTGGTCAATAACAACTTTTAGACTATTTCGGAAGTTATTAACAGTTTAAAGTAATGAATATAGGTGAAGATAGGTGCTATTAGTTTTATAACTTAACATTATCTGGCATTACTCTTCCTCTAGATATAAATGTCAATAATTTCCAAAATATGTTCAAATGTTGTTATCAACCAGTCATTTTCTTAATTAGATCATTATATATTAAATAAGCTAGTAATTAGGGGTATTGCCATCTAAAAAATTAAAGTTGATATCCTTATAAGGTATAATATATGAACATAAAACAAATTTTTTGATTGAAAAATTGAGACTACCATTGAACTAAAAGGAACAAATAAAAACATTATTAATATTATTTTTAAATTAATTATGTGGTTCATGATAAGTGAATCTCTTTAATTAATAAAGATTTAATTTAATCAGAAACAGGGGATAATTAGTGAGTAGAACACTACTTTTTGCTATCGAGATACTTTTGATTTTCATCAACATTAAAATAAGAAACTTTTCAAAATAACTTGAATTTATAATTTTCATAAATATTTACATCATTCCAGTTGCAATGAATAATGCATCAAATGGTATTTGTTCATTGTTTGTTAATTTGAGAGTTTTACTTGTTGTATCAACAGATTCTAAACTTGTATTTGTTAGAACTTCCACATCTCCTGACTGAAAATAATAATAATATTATTTTAAGTTTTAAACAACTAATTTAATAAATTTTATATTAATAATAAAATAATTTTTATTTTAGGCATAATATTTACAAATAATTCAATAATATTGAATTATTATTAAACATAACCCCATAAAAATGAGTTTCTAATTGAACCAATTTTTTTCGCAATATAGCATTATACATTTTTTTTCTATTTTAAATGAATTAGGGTGATACAATATTAATTGAATGATCTTAATATAATAAAAATAAACAATTTTTATTTTTATTTTTATTATACAATAGTGTTTCAGCATATTTAGTCATTATTTTATGAAATTTTTTGTTTTACTTTTTTCTAAGAGGCACTAACTCATTAGTTAGAATTTATAGTTAGTTGGAATTTATTATTTTATTTGAATAAAAAAAATTACTTTTTATATGTACAGCAAAAATTTCTATTATCTAACCTAATTTAGATTAAAAAATTATTATTACTATTTGAAGTAACTAGTAACTTAAATGAGTTTACAATAAATACTTAATAACTTATAAATCACACACACACATATATATATATTTCTTTTGATCTAAATTAACTTAGAAAAAATATCTAACCTGCCTATACTACATATTAAATAAAATATAACTGAGAGTTTTATTAATTTTAGTGTAAAACAAAAAAAAATAAAATTTATTTTTACCAAAATGACCATTTAATACATTAAATAGTCATTTATAAATGTAGTCTATAATTATGAAACATTTGAACTGGTCAAAAACCCAACCCTGAATAATTAAAGTAAAATTATGGTTTTTACATCGTAGTATTGCTGAGGGCGCAATAATATACTGCTTATGTCAGAAGATAAAGTTTTGCTAAGCTTGGTACGGTCATATGGTAAACAATTTTCTTTTGTAATAAATAGCAAACGACCATCATATCCTTCTTGTCTTAACGTCTGAACACAACTAGCTCCAGCTGGCCCTGTAGCAATACATTAAAATACAATAAGTTGTACAAATTACATTAAATATTTTAATATATAATTACCACCACCAACAACAATAAATGTTTGTGTATTATCAAGGTTGCGTTTAGTTAATGGTTTTATAAATTTTGAATTTTCCAAAATACTCCTTTTAGTTGATATTTTTACATTTCCGTTATTAACAGACACTTTAAATGATGGAATATTGTCAAAACCCGGATAATCCTCAATATCGCCTATGTATATTAAATAATCAATTTAAATTTAATAATCAATTTAAAAATTTTTTTTTTAATTTTACCAGTTTTTAAGTTAAAGCATGCACCATGCCAAGGACATCGAACTCTTCCATTCCCTAAAGCTCCTTTCACTAAAGGAGCACCAAAATGTGAACATTTTGAACCAACAGCAAAAAACTGATTTTTTTGCTTTACAATCAAAACTTTATTACCATTGTTTCCAATTTCAAATTCTTGCATCCTTTTAAAAGTTGAATATTACAAATAAGTAAGTTATTGATTAGTATCAAATGTTTAAATTAAACAAACCCATTTTCAGGAATATCATTTTCACGACAAACAATATGTTCAACAATATCATCAGAAGATCCTACAAAATATTTTAAATTCTAATAAATAAGTCATTTAGTGAACACTTATTACAAATTTTTAATTTTACAAAAGCAGTTATGAAATAAGCACATAGGATATCACAAAAACAAACACACCCGACATTGTTCTGCAAAACACACGCAATTGGGAACACACACTACTTCTAAATACTTGTCTTCGAATATATAACATTCAATGACAGTGGATATACCAGTTTAATAGCCTGAAACCATGCAAACATCTAAAAATAATGTAAAACTTAATCAATTTTTTAATTTAGTTTACATAAACTATTTTTTGAATAGTTTATAACATTTAGAAAAAAATTTATAATTGTCCATTCTTACAAAGTGTCAAACAAATTAAATTGGGTTTGTATAATAACATAAAATAGTAACTTGATTTGTTACAAGTATTTTTTGAAATTGACTTCCAATTTTTATTTTAACTTTTTGATTATAAGATTTGCTCAGTTATGCTAAGCTATTATGAAGTATCATCATATAAAACAAGATTTTCAGGAATTCAGTTTCTTGATTTTTATTGTAACACTATTAATAATAAACTATAACTGATATAGGAATACTAGAATTGACTTTTTTTTCATAAGAAAAATTAATTTTTTACATTACCTCTGTAGAAATACTAAAAGTTCATTTGGCTAAAATTACTCTTTAGTGACTTAGTATGACAGTGCTAAGTAACTAAAAAGAGTACCTTTATCAATTTTATAGGGAAAAATTTTTTATTTTATATTGTAACAAAAAAATAAATCCTTATTCTTTATGATTATATGACAAATTATTAATCATTTTTACATTCATATTTATGAACTTAAGTGTATTTCCTGATTTAATTACACATACCATATTATTCCAATAGTTATATATAGGTAGTGTCAGAAAAATTAAGATAGCATCCTAATTCTTAAATCATGGACAATATCACATGATAAGTTTGCATTAAACTTTTTAAATATTTATACATTAATCATTCCTCTTCTTTTTTTATTAATCAAATATTATTATATTATTAATCAAATTATCAAACTTCTTTTATTTCAAATTTAGGTTGGGCAAGCTGGTCATTTTTTACTAACATGTGAAGTTAATTTAGATTAAAAAAAAGTTATATATATTATAAATCACAATACTACTAATGAAAGTCCAATACCTTCATGCAGGGTAAAATTTTTTTCATTATTTTAAATTTACATTTTATTTCAGTACTATAATAAATAGTTTATTAACAAAAAATACTCAATACTAAACTAAACTTATTACAAAATAAAACAAAACTTTCATAAAATAACAACTAAATGTTCAAAAAGACTGCCGTTAAAAAATTTGAAATTTAAGTACAGATGTTTAATATTTTTATTTTGATTAATTATGACTAGTCAAAATCTCTTTGGTCAATTTATATTGTACATACCCGAATATAAATATTAGTGATTAACTACAATTTAGCAACAGATAATTCAAAATTTAGTTTTCAATCCTATATTTAATTCAATAAGGAATGTAAAATTTTTAATAATATAAACATCTTTGTAATCAGACACTAATGATCTTGAAATTGACATGTAAAAGAAAAATAAGTAATATATTTTATAACTTAATTAAATAATATTTATTATTTAAACTCTAATTATATTAAATATAATTCAAATTGATCGTTTTAAACATTTTATAAAACAAATGTAAATTTTTGGCTTAAGAAAATCTGAATACAATTTTGATAAAATAAAAATAATATTAGTACATATATACTTAGTTTGTATGGAATATTCAATCAAGAACTATAATGTAATAAAAATATTTGGTTTTATATTAATTTAATATTTAATGTAAATAATAACTGCAAATTTTTTAATAAAGGTACTATTTCATCAAGTATCAGCTTTCCATGTACCCACAGGTTGAGAAATGCTGTTATTAAGTATAATTTGTTTAATGAGTTTTTGAAATAAGACTATACAAAAATAGCATGCATTAAAAACATTGACACCAGTACACTGAATGATCTATTTAGATATAATAAACAAAACACTATACTTGTAGTGCTAAGGTAAAGGAAATCTCTTACAAAAGTATTAAATATTAGTTTTTATTAACTTTAATGAGTAACTGAAAAAAAAATTTAACTTTGGATTCCTAAACATTTTGTTTATTAGAATTTACCTGATCACCACAAATATCATAATTAGGGATATAATCACAAACAATATAGAATTTAAATCATTTACAAAAAAAATATTTTTCATTTTCAAAAATAATTAAGTTACTGATATACTCAAATTTTTATAGGCACATTTAGTTAATAGTAAAACTATTTTATTCATTATTACATGTTGATGTGACCCATAGCTTTAAAGTTACAAAAAAAACAACGAAAAGTGCAAAAAAAAAATTTGTGACATTATACACTCATTAAGTTTTAGGTGTGGGTTATGGTGTACCAAATATTTTAGAGTTAATGTGTCATATTTTTTTTTTTTTATAAGACAAAAAATTAAAAAAATGATCTTCTATGATTAAGGTTAGAAAAATAAAGCACTAAAATCCTTTAGTTAATGCATTAAAAAGCAGCAATAATATTTAAAAAATATGTTTAAAACATAAATTGCTCTAAAAAATTCATTTCAAAATGTAAAAATGTGCAGAAATAATTTTTTTGTACTGTAAAATAAAACAAAACTTACAAATATTCTAATGTTCATTAACTATTATAACACCTAAACAGTATTAAATATCAAAATGAAGTAATCAATAAAAAATTATTTAAAAGAATTGTAATTGTTTTAACTTTAAAATTAACATAAGTAAATATTTGTTTTATTAGCTTATAAAAGCTTTCAAAAATCTTCTGATAAATATTGTTTTATTACATAGAATAATACAACTAAATAATTTAACTAATAACTTCATTTATAAAAAAATTAATTTGAATTATAAAAATATAGATAGAAATAATATAGAATATGTTATAATGGAGTTATTCATTGAAAAATATAAACAAAATTTTACTAACATTAAAAAATGATAAATATTCATAGTTATTGAAAATTTTAATTGTATTTTTAATTTTAAATAATTTTATCCCTGAGTGATAGATTCTTGTTTTATACATATAATTACCAAAAAATGAATTTTAATGCTACTAATATGATTCCAAAGTATCAAATATGCAATTATGCACAAAAATAAAGAAATTCTAAAAATGCAACAAAAATTTTTATATGTGAATAGTGCAGTTCATGAATTACATTATGCGTTTGATAAGCAATGGGCTAAAATAATAAAAATAATTAAAAAAAAGAAACAAATGATACAAATTGCTAGTCCTAGATATGACTGTTCATATCTCCAAAAATACTAACCTTCGGTATTTTTTGACGCTATTGATCCCATTTGATTGAAAATTTTTATATTTATGAAACGTATACTATTAAGTATACGTAATATATTTGATTTGTGAATAATTATGAAGTAATTAAACTTTAAGCTAATATATATCTTATATTAGTATTCTTTTTACGTGATATTTGTTGAATCTATAAAACATAAGTAAATGTAGAGCAAAAAAAATTAATTGTAATAGGAGAACCGTAACTCAATATTATAAAAATACAAATGATTACTGTAATTATGTCTGGTGAGCCTTGAAATTTGAAAGTAATTCCAAAAACGAGTATCACTAACCAAATAATTATTTAGTTTAATTAGAAGTGTTACTTCATACCTTTACGTAGCAGCATAAAAAATGAAAATGATAAACTTTTTACATTTTATGTAATCAAATATTAAATTTAGAGGGGGAAGATCAATTTTAAATTTATGAATATTCTTATCGTTGATACTACGTATGATACGACCATAGAATAAAGTAACTGTCGTTCAATGATACGACAGCGTTATTGCATAGTAAAATATTCTAGGTGAACAATGTCACAGAATATTGAACCCATACGTTTAACTATAACTAACGCACGAACTATAGTAAAAATTTACTCTTCAGACTATTTTGAAATAAAAAGCTTTAGTAATATTGTTACTTATATATATGAGTTTAATATTATCTATTATATTATCTATAATATAGATATATAATCGCATAGTTTATCGAAATAATGTTCGTCATAATCATAAATATCTGCCTATACTTTTCTCGGGCACATTTTAATGAAGAACACAGTATAAAATGTTTTCATTAGGATTTACTGATGTAGCATCTAAAAAACTGTTCGCAAAGATGTTCCTTTGATCTATCACAAATAAGACATTTATCGAGAGCAACAGCTAACCTTAGAGTTATAATTGCTTATTAGCTCTTATTGGTTTAGGCAAATCAGATATTGATGAATATTTAAAATTTATTATGTACTCGGAAAAGTAGATTGTTATTACAAGAAGAATCAAAAAATTATGACTCAAAACCAGTACAATTAATTATAAAAATTATATAATGTATAATTAAAAGAATTACTAATCTGGATATAATTAAGGAAATAGGAGTTGATGTTTGGTTGGGTTGGTTACATTTTTAACTTTATAATGCTATAACTCATTGAAAAGTGTACGAATCAACACAATTTTTTTATGAGAAATAATATTTTTTAATAATCCCTTTTTCATTCGACATACTTTATCTTAATCAGGGTATTAATAAGAAACTAGCAGATAATGTAGCTTTTGTAATTATCCACCAATTTCTTAGAATTAAACACTATCTACTGATTTGCATCGAAGCGTTTCTTATGATAGTGATTTTAATCACTGTCAGATTAAATCTATACTGGACCCAACTATGCAACGTCCCCACTATGCCGCGACTCCACTGTGCTGGGTTTTTTTGTGTGTCTATTACCACTTTTTTATTTAGCTAATAATTAATTTTTCAGAGAAAGAATATCTGATTTTTGTTGACTTCTAAAAAATCAGCTACTAAAAGGACGGTTGATCTATCCTGTCGCCTTCGAATACAATGTATGTTGTCGACTCATATTTGTGATAAATAAGTTTATAAAAATCAATTCAAATTTATGACAGATTTCTAATGAATAAATATTTTTATTATATTTTCATTAATATTTTCGTGTAAAAATCATAGAGTAACTTTACAAAACTATAACAAAACTCTATGGTAAAAATTAACACAGTTAAATTATAATTAAATCCTATCACCCGTCGTCAATATTAACTATGTTTTCACAAATTTAGACAAACGATTGCTAAATGGTACTCCGGTGCGTCGATAACAAAATATAAAATAACTAGTTTTGCTCAATCGCGAGAGGGCAGTTGAAGGGTGAGGGTAATCGGTTACTGCCGCTTAACAGGACATTCGTCACGTTATAAATGCCACTACGGACAGTCACATGTCGATAGACAAAAATTCATTTTTTTGTATAAAAACTGTTTAGTGCAGGATAACTTTTAGCAAGTTTTATTGTCACCCAAGTCTTCGAATTTTCACAGATAATTTTGTCTTTTATAAATTGGTAAACATTTTAAAATTTATATTCCATTTTTTTCATTTTAGGGTTACTTTTTATCATGTTATACTTACATTAGACACAATGTTATAAATGCATATGTGTGTATGTCTGAGTTTATTTATTTATTGTATCATAGAAGTGTAGTGTATATTAATATACAACCGATAGAGTAGGTAATTGATTTGACGCTATATTGTTTAAACCCAACTAAACGCTAAATTGTACATTCCCAAACAACAATCATATTATTTCAATTGCCACCGGAATTTTCTTTTTCTTTGCCTTAATCCCAACTATTTGGGGTCGGCCACCCTTATCCTTAACTTCCACTTGACACGATCTCCCTCATCTTCTATGCTCACATCAGCTGTCTTCATGTCGCATTCAATAACATCCCTCAATCTCCTTTTTGGTCTTCCTCTACCTCTTCTTGCTTCAAAATTCATTTCTATAACTGTTCTTACAGCTTCCCATTGTTCTCTCCTCATCACATGACTAAACAATCTAAGTCTATTTTCTGTCATCTTATCCACGATTAACGCAACACCTATACTTCCTTTTATGTGCTCGTTCCTTATCCTATCTTCTCTAGTCACTCCACTCATCCAACTAAGCATTCTCAACTCTACTACACTTATTCTCTGCTCTACTTTCTTATCAATCGCCCAAAACTATTTACCTTACATCATAGCTGGCCTGACAATTTCATACTAAATATAAAAACTATAATTATTATTATAGCCAGAATATTTTAGCTTCGATGCAAAGCTGAGAAGGTATTGGTTTTACTATGATGTGTTTTTTTTTTTTTTTTGTGTCTGTTACCACTTTTTCTCATACGATACGTTAAAAGATCACAAATCGTATCTAGTCGAAGACATTACCCTTAAAAATTGAAAAAAGTTCCCCCATTCCCCGTAAATGGGGGAAACTCCAAAAAAATTACAAATTTAAAAATCGCTAATTTTCGAAATTTTTTCAATTTTTTTTACTAAAATGTAACGTAACTTTTTTAAAAATGAACATATCAATATAATTTTTTTTTATATATGCTTGATGTCCTTACCTATCATTTGATATATTTTTTTTGTAAATTTGACCCTTTATCTGACCACAGGGGAGGATTTAAAAAAACAACTTTTTCACAAAAAATTAACTTTTTCAACTTAACTTTTGAAAATGTTCCGGAAGGTCTGACACTTTTATATATATCTTAAATTAAAGCTAATGTATTGACTTTATTATGCAAAAAAAAAATTTCGGACTTTATTTTATCTTCACGGTGAAAATAGCTATCGAATGGTATTTTTGTGTGAAAATTCTCGATTTTATAATTTACATGTTTTACTTTAAAGTGCTATAAATTTTTATAAAATGTATGGATCAATACAATTTTTTCATGAGAAGTAATATTTATATACATCTTTCATTGGACAAACTTTTTTTTTAAATCAGACTATTTCCCTATATATGGGGGGCTTAAAATATAAAAAATGCATACATAAAGTAGAACTTTTTCAACTTAACTTTTGAATGTGTTCCGGACACTTTTATATATATCTTAAATTAAAGCTTATGTAATATACTTTAATTTGAAAAAAAAAAATTTGACCTCTGGACTTGTCTTCGTGGTGAAAGTTGACATCAAAGTTAATAAAAAATTACGATTTTTGTAAAATAATTTTTTTTTATATTTTTAACTTAATAATGCCGTAACTTTTTTAAAAATGAACATATCAATATAATTTTTTTTTATATATGCTTGATGTCCTTACCTATCATTTGATATATTTTTTTTGTAAATTTGACCCTTTATCTGACCACAGGGGAGGATTTAAAAAAACAACTTTTTCACAAAAAATTAACTTTTTCAACTTAACTTTTGAAAATGTTCCGGAAGGTCTGACACTTTTATATATATCTTAAATTAAAGCTAATGTAATTACTTTATTATGCAAAAAAAAAATTTCGGACTTTATTTTATCTTCACGGTGAAAATAGCTATCGAATGGTATTTTTGTGTGAAAATTCTCGATTTTATAATTTACATGTTTTACTTTAAAGTGCTATAAATTTTTATAAAATGTATGGATCAATACAATTTTTTCATGAGAAGTAATATTTATATACATCTTTCATTGGACAAACTTTTTTTTTAAATCAGACTATTTCCCTATATATGGGGGGCTTAAAATATAAAAAATGCATACATAAAGTAGAACTTTTTCAACTTAACTTTTGAATGTGTTCCGGACACTTTTATATATATCTTAAATTAAAGCTTATGTAATATACTTTAATTTGAAAAAATAAAATTTGACCTCTGGATTTGTCTTCATGGTGAAAGTTAACATCAAAGTTAATAAAAAATTACAATTTTTGTAAAATAATTTTTTTTTATATTTTTAACTTAATAATGCTCTAACTTTTTCAAAAATGAACATATCAATATAATTCTTTTTTATATAGATGTTTGATGTCTTTACTTATCATTTGGTATATTTTTTTTGTAAATCTGACACTTAACCTGCCCACAGGGGGGGATTTAAAATGACAACTTTTTCACAAAAAATTAACTTTTTCAACTTAACTTTTGAAAATGTTCCGGAAGGACTGACACTTTTATATATATCTTAAATTAAAGCTTATGTAATATACTTTAATTTGAAAAAATAAAATTTGACCTCTGGATTTGTCTTCATGGTGAAAGTTAACATCAAAGTTAATAAAAAATTACAATTTTTGTAAAATAATTTTTTTTTATATTTTTAACTTAATAATGCTCTAACTTATTCAAAAATGAACATATCAAAATAATTTTTTTTTTTATAGATGCTTGATGTCTTTACCTACCGTTTGATATATTTTTTTATTTTATTTTTAAAAATAAATATTTGTATTTATTGCTATTATAGGTTAATAAACACAAGAATGATAAATTGAGCAACTCATTATTAATATTGCAAAATTTAACCAATGTTCAAAATTTATTATTATAAGAGTAAGAGAAAAGTGATAAATTAAAAAATTCAATTTATAAATTGTTATTTTTAATTAGTGAAATTAACTGATTAATTAATATATGATAAATTATATATTACATAGAATACATTATCGGTTTAAAAGTAAATACACATCACATAATTTTTAACCAATTTCCCAAAGAGAAAAAAATTATTCTTAACAAAATTATAATATATTAAAAATTAAAGTTTATTTTAAAAGTTAAATTAAAAGATATAGAGGTTCAAGATACCATTTAAAACATTTTAGGAAAAAATAAAAACATACACGTTTTAGTATTTATAATATATTTTAGATAAACAAACAAATTTAAAACAAAATTCTATAAATAATAAAAATATATCAAAAACAAATATATATATATGTATTATAATATACTACTAGACAAAAAATAAATATATAAAAATATAATAATTAATAAACACAAAGAAAAATTTATGGATAACATTTTAGACTCCGAAATGTTAAAAGATACATATACATTCTCCTTATTGGGAGCATCAGACACTTGGTCATCATTGACAACATTCTCATTAGTTGGTGCTTCTGGCTCCAAATTGTTTAAAGATATGCTTTTATTTTCTTTTGTATTGGCGTTTAGCATCAATTCTTTTGTCTCACCTATTATAGTCTTTGATTCGGGGAAAGAGTTGGGATCTAAATTAATATTTACATCCATTTCAATGGGAGTATCACACACTTGGTCATCATTGACTACATTCTCATTAGTTGGTGCTTCTGGATCCAAATTGTTTAATGATATGCTTTTATTTTCTTTTGTTTTAACGTTTAGCATCATTTCCTTAATGGGAGTATCAGACACTAGGTCATCTTTGGGAACGTGTAATGATTCATCCCAAAAAAATATGTAGCCTTCATCTTTCATTTGCTTTGAATCGGGGTAAGAGTTGGGATCTATAAAGATATTTACATTCTTCTTAGTGGGAGTATCAGACACTTGGTCATCTTTGGGAACATGTAATGATTCATCCCAAAAAAATGTCTAGCCTTCATCTTGCATTTGCTTAGAATCGGGGTAAGAGTTGGGATCTAAATTAATATTTACATCCTCTTTAATGGGAGTATCAGACACTTTTCCATCTTTGGGAACATGTAATGATTCATCCCAAAAAAATGTGTAGCCTTCATCTTGCATTTGCTTAGAATCGGGGTAAGAGTTGGGATCTATAAAGATATTTACATTCTTCTTAGTGGGAGTATCAGACACTTGGTCATCTTTGGGAACATGTAATGATTCATCCCAAAAAAATGTGTAGCCTTCATCTTGCATTTGCTTTGAATCGGGGTAATAGTTGGGATCTATAAAGATATTTACATTCTTCTTAGTGGGAGCATCAGACACTTTTCCATCTTTGGGAACATGTAATGATTCATCCCAAAAAAATGTGTAGCCTTCATCTTGCATTTGCTTAGAATCGGGGTAAGAGTTGGGATCTATAAAGATATTTACATTCTTCTTAGTGGGAGCATCAGACACTTTTCCATCTTTGGGAACATGTAATGATTCATCCCAAAAAAATGTGTAGCCTTCATCTTGCATTTGCTTAGAATCGGGGTAAGAGTTGGGATCTAAATTAATATTTACATCCTCTTTAGTGGGAGCATCAGACACTTTTCCATCTTTGGGAACATGTAATGATTCATCCCAAAAAAATGTGTAGCCTTCATCTTGCATTTGCTTAGAATCGGGGTAAGAGTTGGGATCTAAATTAATATTTACATCCTCTTTAATGGGAGCATCAGACACTTTTCCATCTTTGGGAACATGTAATGATTCATCCCAAAAAAATGTGTAGCCTTCATCTTGCATTTGCTTAGAATCGGGGTAAGAGTTGGGATCTAAATTAATATTTACATCCTCTTTAATGGGAGTATCAGACACTTTTCCATCTTTGGGAACATGTAATGATTCATCCCAAAAAAATGTGTAGCCTTCATCTTGCATTTGCTTAGAATCGGGGTAAGAGTTGGGATCTAAATTAATATTTACATCCTCTTTAATGGGAGTATCAGACACTTTTCCATCTTTGGGAACATGTAATGATTCATCCCAAAAAAATATGTAGCCTTCATCTTGTATTTGCTTAGAATCGGGGTAAGAGTTGGGATCTAAATTAATATTTACATCCTCTTTAATGGGAGTATCAGACACTTTTCCATCTTTGGGAACATGTAATGATTCATCCCAAAAAAATGTGTAGCCTTCATCTTGCATTTGCTTAGAATCGGGGTAAGAGTTGGGATCTATAAAGATATTTACATTCTTCTTAGTGGAAGCATCAGGCACTTTTCCATCTTTGGGAACATGTAATGATTCATCCCAAAAAAATGTGTAGCCTTCATCTTGCATTTGTTTTGAATCGGGGTAAGAGTTGGGATCTAAATTAATATTTACATCCTCTTTAATGGGAGTATCAGACACTTTTCCATCTTTGGGAACATGTAATGATTCATCCCAAAAAAATGTGTAGCCTTCATCTTGCATTTGCTTAGAATCGGGGTAAGAGTTGGGATCTAAATTAATATTTACATCCTCTTTAATGGGAGTATCAGACACTTTTCCATCTTTGGGAACATGTAATGATTCATCCCAAAAAAATGTGTAGCCTTCATCTTGCATTTGCTTAGAATCGGGGTAAGTGTTGGGATCTAAATTAATATTTACATCCTTTTCAATGGGAGTATCAGACACTTGGTCATCATTGACAACATTCTCATTAGTTGGTGCTTCTGGATCCAAATTGTTTAATGATATGCTTTTATTTTCTTTTGTTTTGACGTTTAGCATCAAGTCTTTTGTCGAACATATTACGTTGCTTTCCCAAATGAATACCTTACTTTTTACTATATGATCGGCAAACATTGTAGAGTTTTGATCTATATTGAAACAGATATATTTGTTATTTGTCGCGTTAGGATGCAAGGACTTTTATATTTTTTAAAATATATAGTTTTCTGTCCGCTGAATATAGTTAGTGGGCAGTCAAAAAGCAGTCTAGGTGGAAGGTTATAGTGATCATTGCGCAATAAACTGTGCTCTAGTTAATAAATTAACTTTCCAATAAATAAAAAAATTATATATGTTTATATGCATTTAGTTATTTTTATTTTAGGAAGAATATAAATATTATTTTAATGGGAGCCTTGCAGAAAAAATTTTATAAATAAAAGATATTTTGATAATATTATTTATAAAATTGAGTGTCACTATTAATTTTTTTCTTATTATATTATAAAATTTTATAATATACAGCGATTATAAAAATTGATTATGTAAAAAATCAAGCGTATGATAACTATCCCTTTGTTACTCATCCTCTGCGGACACATATGCTAGGATTATAAGTTTTAAAAATAGCTGATATAGATTAAATGTTTTAGATTTGTTAGATTTTATTTGACTTCAAAAAAATCTCTAATTTAAGTTCAATTGAATTTTTTTTTTATTTTAAATATATAATTTTATTATTTTATACATAATTTATTTATTTTACAATTCATTATCTCATGATTGTTATTCTAATTAAATGATTTAATTACATATATATACTTTTATTTACTTATTACCCATAGAAATATGTGTTTTTGTAAACAATGTAGTTACTATAAATTTTTATATAAAATTTAGTTTTTTAGAAAAAAAAAACAACTTTATTTATACTTATATTCTTAATCTTTTAATAAAAAATAACAGATAAAAATTTAGATTGTTAAATTTTTCTTATTACCTTTGAAAAATAATTTAACATTTAGGGTTCCGATCTTTAATCATATATATTATTTGTCTGAACCACTTTTGAGACACTCAATTCCATGAAAATTTATTATAGATATACAATATCACAAGAATTATTGTTCTTATTTATCATTCATTGATTAGGATTAAGTAAAACAAAAACGAATATTTATGTAACGTTGATTCATTCGGTATAACTAAAATTAACTTCCTAAATGTATTAAGTATCGAACTCTAGTTATGAATTATTTTATTTTAAATTTGAGCGAAGTTCGATTTTCTCATTAAGGTCACAGTTTCACCCTGCTATTAGATATTTATCTACAGTAAAAATATATCTGCGAACTCATTTTTGAAAAATTTTGTGACTTTAATTTCTATGTGCTTAAAATTGTTATAAATTTATAATACGTGTTAAATCGCAAATAGGGGTTTTCACCCTTCCCATACGATAAATTAACTCCTTTAAAAGTATAAAATTATGCTATGCTATATAAAAAAATTTTAAGGCGGAGAAACATTAATTTACTTATTGTAAACTGTTCTAGATACGTCTAAGTATACTTTTTTTTATAAAATGGTGTGTAATAATACAATTTAATGTATAACTATATTTGTAATTGTTAATATTAAAAAGAATAATCCAATTTATGTATTACTCGCAATGCTCACTTAAACTGTTCACTAAATAAAAAATAATCTTAGTCTATATGATGTATGCTTTCTTACCAATTTTTTCAAATAGTTCAAATGTAGGTGATATTTTTGATTTGGAGTCTGACATAATTGGCAATGTATCGTTCAAAATACGTGAAGGTTCACACATTTTCCAAAGTAATGAGATTTGATTGATTGATTGGAATGTTAAGTTTCGAATCAAAGAAATATCTTTTCCTCGATTTAATGACTCAAAATGTTTTTCGTTTTTTATGGAGATATCCATTACTGCAAGTTTTATACAAAAATATGAATTTTAAGTTTTTAATTATCTATAAAGATTTTTACAAATAATTTAAACACTAAAAAAGTGGTTTTCAAAATGAAACTGACAAATTTTTGTAAAAATAAAAATATTTTAGTTTGTTATTTTTAATACGTATCTATGACAATACAAAATACTTAACTAAACTCAAGAAATAAATTTCATCAAAATTTGTTTTATTTAAAACGTTAAAATTAGATATAATATCGTGACAAACCAGTATATATAATAACCAAACGAAATATTGATTATCCAGTCAGTTTTTTTAAGACAAACATTTTTTTCGGAAACTATTAAAAATATTTAATTTTTGCAAAGGAAAATATTATTTGATCCAAAAATTTCAGCAGTAATATATAGTTAAATAATATTTTTTACCTCTTCAAGGACAAAATAGCTAAACTTTAGTTTTCTTTGACGGAAACCACAATTTTTAATTTGATTATATGACTTAAAAAAATATTGTTTTTATAATATTTTTTATCTTATAAACTATTTGCTAATATTGTTTGTTTAATTAAATTTAATAATTTTTGACCAATTTTCTATTAATAATATACTTGTTTAGAATGCCTTAGTCATCATTTGTCACAGATGCAACCCGATGATATCTATCGTATAGAAATATCATCTTTAATATTTCATGTTTATTAATAGACGCATACTCTAATATTTAACGCAATTTTACTATCATACATTGTTGAATGACCGGTGAAAAAAATAAATTATGGTCCATTAAAGCAGATTATTGTTTTCCACGGTATTATAAAAACCAAATTAATGATGAATTTGTATTTTAAACCAAGTCTTAAAATAATTTTAAAACGCAACGGTTGATCAGATAAAAAAATAAGAAGAAAATTGTTAGAATTTTGTTTTTATCATATTAAACTATAAATAGATGCTTCATTAAGGTTACCATTTATACCTGAAGAAATAAAAAAAATTATTTAACTACATACCATATTGGGAAAACGAGATCTAGATTATTATTGAATAAGTGGGGGGCGTTATAGCGTAGGCCTTTTTGTTGTGAGTTACTCGTATACCGGACGTCGAATAATAAGTCCAACGCACCTAAAGTTTTTATTCTTTTGTAAAATGTGCAAGTAATCTCAATAAAAATATAGTCCACATTATTAATAAACAACATATTATNTTCACTTTATTAATAAACAACATATTATTTTGTTTAAAAATAAATTATCGAAAGCTATAGACCAATTTTTCTTTACGAAAATTAAAACTTTTCCATCATTTCCAAGAAAATGAATGTTTTCCTTATTGAATCGTTCTGTATATAGTGCTGTTATAGAGATAAAATGTGGTGTAAAAAATTAATATTACATACATACTTTTTTCTTTGGGTTTTTTGTAAAAAAATAATAACATTTTCATCGATTGTTTACTAACAAATAGAAACAAATATACTTTGCTGTTTAATTTTTTTTATATACATATATGTATATAAAATAGCGCTTCTATTCGTACGTTGGTGAATTTAGCTATGGTAAAAATGTAAGGCAATCNGCAACGCGTTGGTGAATTTAGCTATGGTAAAAATGTAAGGCAATCAATTTGCTACTATAATTTGTGACACGTCCGTACATTTTTTGTGGTTTATTTTAGCAGTGTAATCTATAAATTCAATAGAACTTGACTGTTCAAAACATTTTGTTTATTGTGAGTGATATACATCTAACGAATTCATTTTGTTAATCAAATTTATTCATTTAATCAACTAAAAATAAATAGGTACACTCTAAAACATTCCATTTGGCTATGCAACGCCTCATTGTTATTTTTATTCTGATGTTCCTTAATACTTCGAGGGTAAGTGTTGTTTATAGTTTCAAATGTATTTATTAATTTAAACAGAAAAATTAAAAAATACCCTCAGGTTGAGACTCACAACCAAAGAGCATATTTTTAAAATTTTATTGGAATATTANAGGTTGAGACTTACAACCAAAGAGCATATTTTTAAAATTTTATTGGAATATTATTATAACTTGTTTAAATTTATAATTTACTATCAGTTTAATGATCAAATTTAACAAAACACTATAATATTAATTTGCATAAAATTAAAAGTCAATTTTAGTTGACCTAAATTGTGTAGGTTGTATAATTTGCAAAAATTCGATGAAGCATTTGAATTTTTTTTTAATTATTATTTTACTTTTATGGGATATAGATGAAATTAATAATGTATTTCAATATTCAAGACATTTTTAAATTAATATTTTCTATATCATTATAAAAAAATCAGTATCTATTTAAAAAAGATTAGTTTTTAGTGAATTACAAATTACCTTTTTAGCAAAAAAATTCTGCTCTTAATATTTATAAAATTTGTCGCTTATTATCTTAATATTGATATAAATTACTACTGTTATTCGCCGATTAGATCAATTTTAAACTTTCCCACATTAGTATTAAGGCAAGAGATTGTAGATATTACTTTTATATATAAATTCATTATTGGTGTTATAGACGCTCTATATTTATTAGCCTATATTCCTTTAATTTCAATCGCTCAATTCTTTATTTTTCATTTAGCACAAATTATTTAAAATATTCTCCTATTCCAAGAGCTAGGGTCTAATATAACCAGCATTTTGATTTAGCTCTGTTATAATACATACACCACTCATTATTCAGTAGTATATATATTATTATCTATTAGTCATCAAATATTATTCATGTTAATACTTTAAGCTATTCCAAGAAATATGTCTAAAAATACATTGATATAAATCTACTGTAATAATTATAAGAAATTCTTTAGTTGTGACAAATTATCTATTTTAAGTAAAATAATATGTAATAAATAACACAAACTGAGTAAT